ATCTTTGACTAATGTATTTCTCTACATATTAGAAGCAGATTAAAATTTTTCTCTCCTCCCTTTGCATTTTATAAAACAAATGTTATCATAATTAATATGGCAGTTTTTGAAATAAAAGCATGTACTACAAATTATAAAATGAATGTGTAAACTTCTTTTGTATCAGTTCAACTGTCTTTGTGATTTCCCAAACTTTACACATTCTACTCATCCATCTGTGATCTAATCCTTCTCACAGGTTATCTCCATCCTGCCCTGGCCTTTTTTTGCAGGGGACGGATTGAGATGGTCTTGCTATATGGATCACACTAGTCTACAATTCTGAATCCTCCTACCTTAGCCTCCAGACTGCTGGGATTACAGGCATGTACCACCAAACTAGACCTTCCCTGACCTTTTGTTCCATTATCTTTCTATTTAGATCTCAAGCAAGTAATGAGGATTGTCTGGCTGTACTTACAAACTACATGGCTATCTCTGAGAGTACCCTCTGCCATACTAACCACTTGCCATACCTCCCAGAAACCAGAAGTAGGTCCCTTCCTTCTCTTTCTTCTCCCACTCTGTGTGACTTGGGCTTCCCGGTGGTGAAGAACCCTTCTCTTACCTACTCAGCAATTTCATTATCAGTAGAAGTCAGTAGCTCTCTGAATACTTTCCCCTTATTGTAGTTGTTTGGGTTGCACCCATAGAAACATTGTTCCTTGTCCAAAAAGTGCCTGAAAAATAGAGTAGAAAGCATGCTATAAAAATATACAATTTTCTATAGTATATCACAGTTTGAATCAGTGATTCAAAATTTATAGTCGTAAGTACATAATTTAGTCATTTATGCATCATTTAGGTTATAAAAGTATTTAAACAATTAAATTTAGAAGTTACTACTATAATATCAATTTCATGTGTGTATTTTGGAAAAAAAACATTTAATATATAATTGGAAATAGATATTGCTTTATAATCATCAGCTGTATTTAACACTGCATGTTCAAATTGATTCCCATGTAAGAAATAAAGAAAACATTGAAGGAGGCTTAACTACTTAAATAGGTCTTACTGGGGGAAGACATCAGCTTTGCACAGTGGCAGTGTTGTAGCCCATGAGGATTATCGCAGGCCTGAGTATTGCTAAGAGATAGAAGCCATCAGTTGTTACTGCAAAACTTGATTTCATGTTCTGAAAAATGATTACTACACTCATGAGTGGCTGAAAGTGTTTCTTAACATAGCATTCTCAGTGCCTCCAAGGCCACCACTTCTAATCCATTAGCATTAGCGTGGGAAGCAAAGCCTATCATCCCTGCTTCAGCCTGCTTGAAGCTGACTATTTTCAGGGCCCTGGTGCCTGCAAAGTAGAGTAGTTGCCACTAGATGGCACTAGTGCTTCTCAAAGGGAATCCACAAGACCCAGGTCTTTATTTTGTGATTTTACAGGTTGTTCTTAACTGCTCACAATAGCAGTTGTTAAATTATCTTCTCAGACTGACTGTTGGGAACTTATCTCTGTGTCCTTAGACTTAATATTCAGAAACTGACAATCTGAGCAGGAAAACATAAGGACACATTTCTGTCCCCGCCTTGTTGCCAGAAGTCATTTTTGCTTCCAATCTCTGGATTATCATGTGCTCCTTTAGTGTTACTTGTCTTCCGTGTTACTTCAGGAAAGTGCTTTTCTTAATTCTCATTCCTTTGTTTTCTTGACAGTAACTTAATTTTTCTGAACCTTACCTTCCTCATTTGTAATGAGAGGTTAAAAATACATGCCCCAAGAGAGTTGTTATAGAGGTCAGAACTGATTTGCCTAACATATTATATTGAAATAGACTTTAAAACATTTTAATGGCATTATTGTCAGTTTAAGACAATTTAGCAATTGCCTTTCCTTTTTTTTTTTTTTTTTTGCTAATTAAACTGAAAAATTCTACCATCAACTCCTTTCTTCCCTGTTGTTTTCCCATGTCTTCCTCCAAGTTTAAGAGCAGAGCAGCTCCACCATTCATTTTTATGATTGTAAAAGGATTTAGAAATACTAAACCTTTCAACATTTTGCCTCTGGAGCTTCTTTAACTTCTGATAGCTCAGTTCATGGGAGTAGAACTTCAGTGCCTTCTTTTATATACTGAATTTTAATTTTAAGTATAAAACCATTTGTCCATTCTCTATAGTATCAGCATGCTTTGCATCAATCCTATTATTATTGGTTTACACATTCAACTATCCACTCCCTTAACTTGACACTTTTAAAAAAATATCTGAGTAGTAAGTACATAGTAGGAACTTAGTATATATTTATTTACTTTGTGTCGCCGTTTTTTGATGAAACATTATTCCAGAGAAGAGAACAATTAATAGATTATCTGTGGCCTTTGTTCACCTCTGTTGTTAAAACTTTCATCAGTTTGAGATGTTATGCCTTAATTACAGCTGTAAGTACCCATGAATAAATTTAAGTGATTATAAATTTTGGAGATAATGTTTCTAATTCATATGCCTCAGTCTCCTTTTCTCTGTACCAACACTGTAATCAAGGTTCAGAGTCTTATTTAAGCTAGCAGATAATTATCCTTCATTACATAAGTAGCATGTAACTTGACCTTAAAAGCCTGCTTCACTTGGTAGGATGGAGTGAGTCAAGGGACCAGCTGTGCTGGTGTGTCCACAGTTTCTTAGAACCCGTGAATAGGTGCTCATTTTAGGAGAAACTAATAGTCATTGCCTCATACTTGTTTCTCTTATTCAGAATTATTGGCATTTTCAGGCCTGACAGTACCTTGTTTCTTACAAATGATGGCTCCTTTTGGCCTCAGAATACATTTAAATCTGTGCTTTTTATTCATAGGCCACAAGTTATTTAACTATATATCAAGGTTTCTAGATGTACTCCTCTTGGATACGTGTTGTTTATCTCATCTTTGTTACTAAAAACTAGATAAATACAAAACTTGAACAATATCATATGTGGGTATATATGTGAAACTGTTTGAAAATAGAAAATATTTAAAATACTACAGCTAATAGAAATGTGTATAAATGGTTTTAAAAAATCAAACATACAAGTTTTCAGTGTGGTCAAGAATTATGTAAGCAATAGAAATAGCAATAAGAGGAAATAATATTCTAAATTATGCAAAAATTAAAAAGCTTCATTATGTTGAAAATCAAGCTAATTGAATTTTAAAAAAAGAAAGCATGCTTGAGAAAGTTATGGTGTCTTTTATGTATGAAAAACTCCTCTCTTGGATCAATAATAAAACATCTAAAGTATAAACAATATTACTGTTAACAAAAATATTAACTTTTTAAAAGTTATGTGCTGTGTACCCTTTTGAAACTTTTCGGGTATTCTTTTAATCCTCATGATACTTTTTTTTTCTGGCGTGGGGATGGAGTCTACAGCCTTGTATATGCTAGTCAAGAGCTTTACTACAGAGCTACATTCCCAGCCCTTATAATAATTCTTCAAGGTAGATGCTGTTATTATTCCATTTCACAGAAGGGGAACTTAAGGCACAGGGAGGTTAAGTAATTTGTTCATGCTGGCACAGGCAGTAATTAGCTGGCAAATTGGATACTGTTTCTGACTGTGTGGTTGACTTTTGGATCCCAGGAGTTTGGCTCTCCTGTTCACACTCTTAACTGCTGCCCTATAGTGCTTAAAATGGGCAACAGACAAAAACAGAAGTTGAGTAAAGAATAAAACAAGAATTTTTTTTCACTAATAATACAAATACTAATTTTTTCTCACTAATAGAGTAATAAGATTAAGAAATTGCTGTGGAGTGATGGAGGAAATGCATGTGGTTGAAACTTATATCTGATTTATACACTGAGTCACATGCATCTGTTGGCAAAAGGCTTGGTGATCAGTGCTATAGGCTGGGTATTCTCCTGGTGGCAGTAGGGAATGTGTCATTGCTTTCAATCACGCCTTTGGAACTCTGTGGGAAAGTTGTGTCTTGCCCAGAGGTCAGATGTTTGAACTTTAGGTGTACAGTTGGTTGCATTCATGCCATGAGCATGATACGCATGATTGTTCCTTCTCAAAATGAGTGGAATCTAGCCATTGACAGCTGTTCGTATATTCTAGAAACTGAGGGGTTAGTAGCTTTTTAAAGGAACTCTCTCTAAAGAGATTGCCTCCAGGGTTTCAGCTTTGATAATAAATTTTAGATCATAAGTCAATTTTATTATGGCATCATGAAATTTGAGAGTAATTTTATGAAGCTGATCTCAGTAGCCTCAACTGTTGACAAATGATTCTTGATGTTTAGTTTGGTGCAAGATGCTGGGAATATAGGTCTAATTCCTTTATTCAAACTCAGTAGATGGTTTGGGACAATTAATTTCCAATTGTGTCCCAGTAGAGCAGATTTACTTGTATATTAATGAGGCACAGGTGTTAGGCCCCTGGTGTCTGCATGCCTGGGAGGCATATTTCAGTTGTTTATCTACTGAGCCATAGGTACTGCAAGGTATTCAGGCTTGCCTTTAACAGTTTTTACAGTGAGGCTTTTTAATTTTTTGATGTTTTCTTCAAATTTTTCCACACCTGTTAAAATTTTAAAACTGGTCATGTAGAAAGAACTTGCAGAGATTCAATGGTAAATAGCACTAACAGTTAAAGAAAACAGTCTTCTATTACATTTAACTGCCTGCCTGGCCTAACATTACAGAGAAATGGTTTATTTCATGTGAGAAGCCATTGTAATCAACAGAACACTTTTTTTTGTTGTATATTTTGTCATATATTTATATTAATATTCATTTTTCTTGTTTATCCACTGAACTGCATGACCAGCATTTTAGAGGAAATGGAATAGCCTCCATAGACATTATGAATTTCAGTAGCTGGCATAATTATAAGCTATCTACATATTCATTAAATCTACAGAAGAACTGTGTCCAAAAAGACAGCCATGCATTTAGAAACATAACGCAACTACATATATACATTTTAAAAGTTACATTTCTTAGATATATTTAAAATTAATTTCCTGTAGCACTCCTCTCCAAACAGAAGAATTTTAACAAAAGGATTCCAATGCTTTGGTTTCTTTCACATAGGAAAGAATGGGAAGAACTATTTGTAAACAACAATTACTTGGCAACAATAAGGCAGAAGGGGATTAATGGACAGCTGAGAAGCAGCAGGTTCCGCAGCATTTGCTGGAAGGTAAGAAGAAAATATTTATTTACAGTTTGTGGTTGCAATATATCAGCACATTACCTGATGCCCTGGAAGATCACCCGTGCAGGGGATCACTGAATTTTCCAAGAGACTTCCAATTTTTGGCCATCCATGTTTATAATTCATAGGGCATTTACGAATAAGATTGAACCACCTTAGTCCTGAATAACGGGATGGTAAAAGAATCTTTGAAAATAACTGTCTTTTCATTTCTTTTAATGGTGCAACTTTCAGAGCAATAGCATTACATTACCTAGATTTTGCAGAAGTTGTTGAAATTGGGCAGGAGAAGAGAAGGGTAGTAACTTCTAGGTTCCTGTTCTATCAGGTGCCATCATCTTCCCTTTTTTTCTTCATAAAGAGCAGGTGGAAAAGATTTTTCATGTTTCTTTTGCTGGGATCACAGAGTAAAGGGCACCAAGAAAGTGATGTGGGAGGAAACTGGGTCAGTGTCTTTCAGAGGAAAAGGGCCGTTAGTTACTAAAATTAGTAGGAATAAATCTACAGTTATCTTTTTAATTGCTTTGAAAAATTAAAAATGAATTTTTAGTCTCTTTTTCCTCTAAAAATGAATTAATTTAGGTTTAGGCTCATTTTTAAAATGGCTTCTACCAAAAGATTTTAGGGTTATATGCATAAATCAAGCATATCGAGTCTAAGCAAGTCAAGACAGTAAATGCATGCTATATTAGACAGTTTGGGATTTAATAATTTAGATTTAATAATTAGAATACATTTTTCTTCTGTTAGATGTAGGTAGTAAAGGCAGGAGACCTGCTGCTAGCAAATCTGTTTACAAATATTTGTGCCTTATACTCATTCCCTGTTGTTTAACTTTTAGTGTCTTTAATTTGCTAAAAATAAACCTAAATCAAGATTTATTTTAATGTTGTATTAAACTAAATTAAATCAAATTTGTCTTTTTAAGAATGCTTATTTTCATAAGCTGATTGCCAGTAGTAAATTACACTTTTTGCTGTTAAAGAAATAGCATTGTTTCTTAATCTGTGTCCTCAGTCCTCAGACTGTTTTTCTGTCACTTTTGTTTATTTTAAAAGAAAATCTTAAACCTAGAAATTACTACTCATTTACTAAACATACCTTGTACTTCTTAATAACTCCTTCCAGTAAGATTAGAATGTAAAATAGGAATTACACTTGAATCTCAATGAATTTTCTTCATTTTTAATATAAATCTGAAGGGGAGCGTGATTCCATTTTGTGGTAGAGATTTTGAGATCTGGCTTTTGGCCTTTAATTGCTCAGGTTTGAATTTTTTGATTATATATTTTAATATCCCTAAATATCTTATCATTACTTGAAATTGAAATGATGGTAGGAACGTGAGATACCGTGTTTCAATTTTCAGATGATTCTGTTTGGCCTAGTTTCACATTACATTATAATTACATTATAATTACATTATAATTTTTATAAAAGTTTTCTTTTTTGTTTTCTTGATAGCTATTTCTTTGTGTTCTTCCTCAAGATAAAAGTCAGTGGATAAACAGAATTAAAGAATTAAGAGCTTGGTATAGCAGTATTAAAGAAAGAGTAAGTAAATAGTAAATATAATTAACGTAATTATGTTCTTATATATAAAGTCCATTAGCCACTGATCTTTGTGTATTTTTCTGTCTTTACCAGCATATCACAAACCCAAGGAAGGTTGCTGGCCAGCAAGATTTGATGATCAACAATCCCCTTTCCCAGGATGAAGGGGTAACATTCATTTTTATCCATAGCTCAACCTCTTCTACCCATAAGAACATGCTTATGTGACTGGTAGAAAAATACCATGAAAACAGTATATTTCATGTCAAGCGTTTTCTTCACTCCACATACTGAACTATCTGAAACCTGAGAGTTAAAAAGAAGAGCATATAGATGAGGATAGGGCTGTTTCATCAGGATTGTAGTAGGGAATGGGTTGGCTAAGGAAAGCTTCCCTTCATACCAGAGAGAGAAGGGTCCAGTAGGCAGGACAAATGGGAATAATTTATTACCTTAAATATTGTACAATTCTTCAATTGTTGCTGTTCTAATTCCTGTCTCTTTAGCTGAACGTGGTGATTTTTTTCTCATTAAAAGATAATAATAATTTTAAAACTTCCCCAGAGCTCTCATTTTAAACCTATATAAAAGCCTGGTAGATTATAAAACCAGATTTTGTGGAGAACAAATGTATCTTTCTCAGTGCAATTGGAATTCAGGTCAGGTTCAAGGTGGGGCCAGTTGGCCCATGGGTCCTGTTCTAAACCAAACACCTTTTTGTTGTTTGTAGAAGTAGAAGCAGGTATACGTCAGTGGAAAGACTCATTCACTTTGTACAGCTAGTAGAAAAAATGAAATATACTCAATAATATCAAACTGAAAAATTAATATTAGAATAAATGTGGTTTTGAGATTAGACTAGATTTTAATAAAAAATTATTCCCATCCAGGTTTTCTATGTGAGAAATGTGAAATGACAACTTAGAGAAGAATTAATTTAATAACAAATTATTAAATTGAAGTCCAACAAGTCAAGCAAAGGTGTGTGAAGTTATTTTAATTAAGTTGTTCTCCTTATTTCAGAGTCTTTGGAACAAATTCTTCCAAGATAAAGAACTGCGATCAATGATTGAACAAGATGTCAAAAGAACGTATGTACAACTATGTTGCTTTCACTAATTCAAATTGGTGTTAACTCTTTGTAATCTTAATAAAATGTAAATTCAAAGAGGAGTCTTAGTTGATTGCAGTATTTTGCACGTTACTAGCAAAGGCTTGTGAGCAAATTTTGATACTAAGGATTGTTTTCCATTCTTAAAATATAGAGACTTTTATTCAAAATAAACTGTACTTAGGATATTCATCTTAAAATCATACTTAGTTTTATCAATTTCTAACAGTTACTTGAAGTCATGTGATTCTGATAAGATTTTATTGGGTAGTCATTACATTGGTATTACTAGAAAAACTTACCTTTCTTTAGACATTTGAATCACTTTCTAACCTCGTTACTTTTTATAGGACAACTGTTATTCTTACCCTTCTTATTTTTCTTTCTCTTGAAGCTATTCAGGTTTCCAAAAAAATAAATAAATAAATTTTCTCAATATACTTATAATTTACCATAAGAAAGGACAGTTTCTTAATTAGCATGCACTGTCCATAACTTTCATATATTGGGCCTCATCTTTCTGAATCATATATTGGGAAATTCTTGGGGTTTGTGTCAGAGATCTAAGGTCAGTTCTAGCTAATGTATGCTGAAATTTTGGGCAGATTACTTTCAACATCTGTAAAATGGGAATGGTAGCAGCTACCTCAAAAGAATTTTTGTAAATTAATAAGTACAAGCTGAGTATCTCTTATCTAAAATGCTTGGAACTAGAAGTATTTCAGGTTTTGAAATGTTCAAATTGAGTTCCCAGTTGACTACCCCTTATCCAAAAATTCAAATTTCAGAATGCTCCAAAATCCAAAATTTCTTGAGTATCTTGTAAGTGTCCCAAAAGTTTGAGATTTGGAGGCATTTCAGATTTTTGATTTTCAGATTAGGCATAATCAACAAGTAGTAGTTTTGGTAACTTGGATAGGTTTACATTTTAAGCTGTAAGCCATTATATAAATGTTAGTGAATGTAATCATTGGGATTTGGGATTTGCCAGATATGTGCAGAGCCATGAGTATCTGTCTGCACATATAACTTCCTCTGAGTCCTACAGCTTTGCAGATAGGCTCCTTTGTAGTTCAACTCGTACATCTATTACAGTGTCAAGGCCTCTGGCTTTCTAACATTCAGTCTCTTTCCTTGTCCCAAATGCTGAATAATCAAGTGGTAAGAACGGACATTAAATTATACTATATACTCACCAGGTAAAATTTTCTATTTTAAAATGAGACTAGGGCAGAGTGTGGTGGCTCATGCTCATAATCCCAGGTACTCAGGAGGCTGATATCAGAATGTTCATGGTTCAAGGCCAGTCCGGGGAAAAAAGTTAGCATGAGTGCATCTCAACAAATAAGCTGGGCATGGCGGTGTGCATCTAATCCAGTTACATGAGCGATAGGTAGGAGGATTGAGGTTCAAGGTTTTGGCCCCAAGTAAAAACACAAGACCCTGTCCCAACAATAACCAAAAGTAAAAACAGGCTTTGGATATGATTCAAGTGGTAAAACACTGGCTAACAAGTGTGAGACCCTGAGTTCAAGCCCCAGTACCCCAATATAAAAATTAAAATGTTAAAAATAAAATAAAAATGATAAAATGAAAATAATTCAGAGGAATCATAGGTTCAGCATTCAACAAAGCTGTAGCTAATTGTGGAGTACAGGGTAAGAAGTATGGATCATTTTGCTTAGCTTTCATTATCTAGGTAACTCAGGAATAACACACACACACACACATATATATACACACATATATGGATATATATATATATACATATATACATACATACATACATACATACACATATATAGGGAAGCTACTCTCAGAGATATCTGAGCAGTCCTTGATGTCTCTAGTATAAATAATTTCAGAAAGTAGATAGCCATTCGATTAGCACACAATAAATATTTGAGTAAAACAAGGGATTTCTTCACTGATCATTAAAGAATGTAAGTAATGAGTGGCAGCAACATAGGCTACAGAAAACAAAGTGTGCAACATACATTACTGATCAGGCTGCAAAGGCATCTTCTAAAGATTAACAGCTTCAGACTGATCTGTCTATAAGCAGAATTTCAACCCATCTCTTTACAGTTATTAATGGAGGTGGAGAGGCCACGCACTGGTGTAGGCACATCCTTGAAGACTATAGGGGCCAGGTTGCTTAGAAGAAATGGGAAATGAAAGAGGAGAGTAAAACTGATGGACATCTCAAAGAAGAGGTTATTCATCATCTTGGTTACTTAGCTCAAACATTTCTGCTTCACTCTGTAAGGAAATGTTAGTTCTTGAAAGCTGTATTTTAACTACTTGGTTTTATGTTTTCTAGGTAATTTTCTTGTAAAACTGCAAAATACACACATGTATACTTATATAGCTAGTTTCTTTTTCTTAATGTTTTTCCCCACTAGTATATTATAATTAAATTCCAAACCTAAGAGTCAAGGAAAGCAGCCAGGAGAACCTATACTTCATGGTAAAGTGGAGTGCAAGAGAGGTTCCATGTCTCCTTCCCTTGAAGGTTTCCACAAAGCTTTCTGCACATTTAGAGAAAGTTTCCATGCCATCTCTAACTAAATTTTACACCAAAGAACTTAGCTCTAAGTAAGGTAATGTCTTATTTTAAAGCCATCAGTTTCCTTAATCAGAAAAGCCGAATAGCTTGAATAATTTTACCACTTTGTATCATTACAAGGCATGATATGATCTTAAATCCATGTTTTTCAATCCAGTCTGTAAAGCAATTCATAATACAATAGAAGAAAAGAAGTGCAGCTCAGAAAAGGTTATACAGTGTTACTTGTTCACTAACATCTGGAATAAGAGCTTTGATTTTTTAAGATAGGTATTTATTGTCTCTGTTCCAGGCTTTGCCTTTGCATTGAGGGGAGCACAGACAGAGTTCTGTTATCACAGGATGTCTGTTTTTCCTGTGGTGGAAGAGGAGTGGGGGACAACAAAGCATGTATACATAGAGGACAGTTGTTGAGGTTGGTAATTGCTCTGAAGAAATAGAGCAAGATAATACATAGAAGAATAGCTAGAGAGATGGCTGCTTTAAGAACATTGAGCACAGACGGCATCTCTGAAGACCCTTCAGCTGAGGTGCAAAAGGGTCACCCTTGTGAAGATCTAGGTGAGAAGTTGGTGGGAGTAGCTAGTGCAAAGTCTGTAAGTGGAAAAGAGAGGAACAGAATGAAGGGAGGAAATGCTAGAACCAAGTGATTTAAAGAGAGGCTCCAAACAGAGGGCAAAGGCCAAACAGTATTTAGACCATAGTAAGAAGTTTTGCATTTTATTTCAATTGTAGTGGGAAACTGTTGGTAGATATTGAGCAGGCCTGGTATCTACAACAATAATTTGGCTGCTGTGTAGTGGGGTGAAGGTGGAGGTAAAAATAGAAGCTGTAAAGCAGCAAGGAATCTATTGTGGTATTCCAACTTAAGGGATATTAGTGACTTACTTTAAAGATGTACCATAAAGACAGGAGTAGATAGATTGAGGATATATATTTTATATTTTAAAATATAACTTAGAGGTTATTATGTGTAGTTTTCTCACATTTGTCAGTTCTGTTCCATTTTTACTGCCGTTCAGGTACTTTTTTACCTCCTACCTACAGTCTCTTACTTGTTTAGTTATATTCCTTGGATCTAGTATCTTTCCACTTCCAGATCATTCCACCTGTTACAGCCCAATCACTCTTCTCAAAGCATATTTATAATTGTGCTACTAGTGTAATCCAAAATATTCTCTGTCTCCCCATGATCTGCAGAAGAATGGACTTAACCCAGTTTCCCTAACACATCCAGTTCCTTTTTAATACAGTGTTTCTGGCATTATTTTCTGAACAAGTTCTATGCTTTCCATTTTCCAGGGTTGGAATTTTCCATTTTCTCCTCTACTGTAATGTTAATTCCTTCTACTGCTTCTCCCTGTTGGATTTCTGACCAGACCATTTAAGGCCTGAGTTCATCACCCACCATGCCCGTGACAGTTTTTAGTTTTTACGTTTGGGAATAATTTGTGCCTATTCCATGTTCTATAGTGTTTTCCTAATATTATATTATTATAATGCTATATTACTTAATTTTGTTTGGTCTTCAGTACATTTATATGAATCTTTCAAAGTACCAGGTACTAGAGATGTAGGATAAATGGTGCCATAATAGAAATAGTATGTACAGGAACTAGTGTTAGTCAAGAAGTCTTACCTTTCCACCTACTGATAAGCGCCTGGAGGGTATGGATCTCTTCTTGTTTTCTGTCACATTTATCCATTAACAAATTGATAATCTTATCACTGACACTCAACATTGTTTAATTTTAGTTATATTCTCTTGCATCTTTTCAATCTTCAAAAACATAAGCACACTTAACCAGTACTCCTATGATCAACCTTTTAGTCTGAGTTTAAACAAGATAATTTGATCTTATGAACTGTGTTTTTGCCATTATTATTGAATTTTTTGATCTGCATATGTTACTGTGTCAAATATCTTCCTCCTCTACTAATTTTAATATTCTTTTATGCTACTAACCTTTTTTTTTTTTTTTTTGCCTCAAAGGGTTTTTGTTTTCGTATTGATTAATTCTTATCCCCGTTTTTATTACTGGAAAACTCAGAACAAACAGTAAATCAAGGAACTTCTAATTTATATTATTTCTGATTTAGAATTTGATTTGTCTATTCTGAAAAAATTTTGCCATGTTTCAAATCTCCTAACAGTAATAATACTGAATTTCAACATTATTTAAAATGAAAGGAAATGATGAGTTCTGGATGGAATATCATTTCCATATTAGATGCCAAAGAAGTATGGTATTTGGTCTATCAAGGTCTGTTCTAAATATATATTTATATATAGCATCTATAACATCATTTGCAGATTAACATATTTATAAGCTTTTGCTAAATGGTGTCATCTTTTCTTCAGATGTGTTCTCCCTCTTAAAGTAAATGATTAAAATTCTTTAACTCATTTT